GCAGCGATCCTCCAGCCCTGGGGGTTTCTTGCACTCTGGAGCCCTAGGGATCATGACAGCTGTGATCTCCAGAGTCTAGGGTTGCATGAAACCCCCAGACCCTGGGGACTGTGGCTGCCATGATCCCTAGGGCTGTGTTTTATGCTGGGCATGATGCACCCCTGCCTGTCAGATGACTGGGCTCCCAGCCACAGGGGAGACCCTGCTACATGTGCAAATTAAAGCTCAATAGCAACCAGCTATAAAGTTAATACACATTTTCAAGGTCTAAGTTTATAGATGGTTATAGCTTTTTATTGTGTGATGGCTACTTTGAACATGCAGTTGGTCTCTAGGTAATTGCACTATTAATCACTTAATTGCACTATAACTGTAACAAGAAAAGGGTGTTTCACATCCAACTTTACACTGCAACTTCTTTGAAAAAGCCCTTGAACATAAGAAGTGATATACTGGGTTAGACCAATGATCCATCTAGCCCAGTATCCTGTCTCTGTCAGTAGCAAAGTAGATACTAGAGGGAGAGCACTGAACCAGATATCTCTAAAGTGATCTAACTCCCTATTCTGTAACCTTCCTGCCATTCACTATTATAGGATTAAGGGATGGAGGAGGAAACATCTCCAATAGTTGTTAACTGATCTATCATCTATGAATCTTTCTAGTTCCTTGTTGAACCTGGCTGTGCTATCTGCCTCTACCTCCTCTCGTGGCAATAAATTTCACAAGTTAACTACACATTGTATAAAAAAAAAATACTTTCTCTTGTTAGTTTTAGACCTGTTTCCTACTAATTTCAGTAGATATCCCTTAGTTTTAGTATTCTGGGAATTCGTGAACAACAGTTCCCTGTTTATTTGGTCAACACCCTTCATGACTTTATAAACCTCTATCATTTCCTCCCTTGTTTTCTCCTTTCTGCTCTTGTTGAGCAGAACCTTCAGCCTGCTCAGAAAGCAGCAGAACCTCTATAATCTTCCTCCATTCCTCTATGGGTAAAAACAGACATTTGGGACATTAGAGGGAGGTTACATTGAGTTAAAAATGACCACCCACCCATTCTAAGGTAAATTGGGATGAGGAGGCTAGTGGGGAAGGATTCATGGGATTGGGGTCAAGTGGAGTCCACGGAGGGGTGGGGATGGTAGAATCGGGAGTCTAGTGGGGGTCTGAAGGGAGGGGTTGGGGGGATGAAGGGCTCCACCATGGGAGGAGGGAAACCACAAGGGAGGGGAATATTTTTAGCTCCCCCCTCAGGGACCAGGGGCTATTTTTAGTGCCCCAACCCTCCCCCAAATGAACAAACAACCCTGCTG